CTGTCTGTTAACAGCTCTGTATGGATTATACAAGGAGTCTTCAGACTTGGCTCTTTTATGACTTGTGGACTTCAACTCCCAGAATTCCTCAGCCAGCATGCCTAAAAGGGGATATTTATATTCTTTCTCTATCCTTTTTAAATAAAGTATGATTTTATCTATCTTTGTGACATTAGTCAAGTGTCTCAACAGTAAAGGCCCAGGAGATAGCCAAACAGTATTTCCTTTTAGACTTTTCACCGGCTTTTGCTTATAGCCTAAGCAAAAGGGGACATCTTGTTCACATGCAATAATTATTTACCAATATAGCTTTATAGACATTCTGGGCAGTGAACAATTTAATATATAATATCAACATAAATAATATAGCAATAGCAACTACTGCTACCTTTCATGGTTCACCAAATAACTGATAGCTAAAAGATCACTCTTGAGAAGGTATATTAATTGGTCCATCCCCCATTTATTTTACAAAGAGCAAGGACCTTCAACAAGCCTTTTCTAGAAGTCTGTGGCAGATAAGCAGATTCTGTTCTGAGAAGACTCTGTTCAGAGATGTTGAACTGATAACTATTAACATGAAAGAATTGGCCTCATTGGGAAACATGTACCATACTTTCCGGCGTATAAGACAACTTTCTAAAGCGTTGAAATTGGCACCGAAGTCAGGGGTCATCTTATACACTGAGTCATCTTATACGCCAGAAATTATGGTAGTTTCCGGCGTATAAGATGACTTTCTAGGCATGCAACTCAGCACCAAAGTCGGGGGTCGTCTTATATGCCGGGCCACCTTATATGCCAGAAATTACGGTAGTTCTAGAAAAAGGAAAAAAATATCTGCATTCCCATTTAGTCTTTCCATGTGCTGCATCTTTAGCTGTTTCTTCACTCACCCCATTCCACAGAAACATTTATACAGTAACCAAAATATCTTTGTTTTTTTAATGGTGTTTGGTTTTAAAAGTATTTTATGGAGTTCAGATTTTTTTTTTTCAGGATAGAGTTTGGCAGATGCATAGTGGAACAGTCAAGATGCATGTTTCAAATTTTGATTGGGAGCCACCCAGAGCTTATTATAAGATGGCTGACTATATAAATATTTTATGTATTTGGAACATTTGGAACCCAAATGTTCCAAAAAAATTCACTCAAATGAGAAGCAGGAAGGGTGGAGAAGAGGGGGAGGTAGCTTTTTCTTTTTAGTTTATTTTGCAGCATTATAGTGCTTTAGTGCAGAGTTCCCCTACATTTCTGGCTTTGCAGACTGGCAGGAAGGAGAGGGGATGGCTTCACGCAAGCAGCCAGCAGGTGTGCAAAATGCAGCTTCATTTGTGAGAGCGGGCATGCGTGCCTGCCGTTCATGTAAATGGAGTGTGCACGCTTGCCCGCTGCTTGCTAAAGTGGGGATGCATGCACATGCTCACCTTCCGCTTCCACAGCCCTGTTCCAAATGGCTCATGGCCCAGTATTGGACCATGGTTCAGGAATTGGGGACCCCTGCTTTAATGCATAATTTGTATCAAAAATTATAATGGCATGTTACAATGTGCTGTGTTTTTGTCTAACATCATCCCTGCCCTAAGGTTTTCATTTCCCTATTCATGAATAAGGATCAGGGACCATTTATGTGGAGCGAGGTTTTTTCGCAGATCAGAGGGGGCGTCATTTTGTGTGCCACTTGCATCCTGCGGATGGGGCTTTGCTTGTTTGTGCAGCCCGGTTGCTGGTCTGCTGCGGCCCGATACTGGTCCATGGACCGGGAATTGGGGACCCCTAACTTAGGGGGCTGCATTTGTATTTATTTATACTTATCAAATAGGTTTCTTTAAAAAAAACTAGAATTATATGCAAGTGAAAGCCAGAATTTGTAATATCCAACTAATGGTATAATATGAGGTTATTGCGGCCAAGACAATTTAATATGCAAATGCCTCTTCCTTTGGGGACCTTGAGATTCAGTCACATCACTAGACAGCTTCTAATTTCAATAAAAAGGAACAGAGTTTATTCCATGTTTTTCAACTTTTTTTTGAATCAATACATTTAAACTCTGGAAAGGGAAATAAAATGCCTATTAAGTCTTCAGTTGCTAATTATGGTTCCACAAGCTTTTTAATCAAGCTACAAATTATGTATGTTTAATATTTATTTAACTAATAAATATTAATAAATATTTTCCAAGGAAACAGTGGGCATGTTATTAATTGAATTGTTCTTGTTTTCGTAAAAGATAATGGTACTTTATTTTGCTGATCTATGTTTTTGCCTCCCAGATTATCAAAGGTTACTTGAACTAATTAATTACTGTGCAATGTGTTAATTCATTAACTGCCTTTAACACTTTATCATGTATTATCATCTGTAGCAGTGTGCAAGTGCATAAAGATGTCCCAAAAATTGTATTTACCTTATCTTGTTTTTTTTAATAACGTCTGCATTATAACTTTATCATTTCTTCTTAGCTTAACTATATTCTGTGAAATAAATTCACTGCCACATTGTTATTTTTGTACTTTAGATTTAATTTTGATAACTAGGAAATACTGATTAGGAGTGGAATATTACAATACAAAGAAGCAATTGCTTTGGATGAAGTATGTAGACTGCATAGTAGCTTTGTTTTTTTAATGATTTATTTCATGTGTATATTTTTATGATTCACTAGGTAATTGCAGTTTGGAGTTATACGGAAAGGGAAAAGGAAAGAACAGTAACATGGGAAATTTTAGTGCTTTTTCCTAACTCCAGTGCTTTGTTTTTCCCTCACCATCAAGGCCATTGTAAATCAAGAACTGTATTCTTTTCCAAAACCAAGCTATGATGGCTCCCACATCACCCTTTGCCTGTCTTTTCCTTGAGACAGACTTCAAAGCTTCTTCTATATGGTATTTAGATGCTTCAAGAGAAGTGATAACCAGTAATTAGATAACAGTCTTTCTGAGTCATGTCATATTGCTGAAATATTTCCATTAAGAAGCTTCCCTACCTTCCCATTGTGCTATTCCCTTAGTGTCAAGAAAAGACAATTTGATATTTCTAAGCATTTTTACCTTCCTATATTTAAAACCTGTATTACTTTACTGTAATTAAGATTAGGTATGTGTGTGAGGGGCATGGGGATATGTGCATTTACTTTTTTAACCTCTGTTTATTCTCGTATATTTTACTGTTCTTTCAAAATAATTTTTGTGTTGTGTTCATGTACTCCCTGGAAATATTTATATGTACAGTATGTTATCAGATGGATCCAGCTTATCTGTCAGCTCTTCCAAATTAATAGCTATCATAATCAGCCCATTCTTTATTTGCAGTGAAAATGATGTGCAAATAACTTGAATCTATTTTATCTATTAAATACAATTTAAATAAATTAGATAAAATAAATGCAGAGAGCTATAACTAGAGACAGAGACAGAGACAGAGATAGAGATAGAGATAGAGATAGAGATATAATAGGAAAGGATATGCATTCATAAATTTTACTATGTCCCTTACTGAATGGTCTTCAGGTTCTGGAAAAAAATAATGCAAAGAAGCAATTGCTTTGGATGGAATTTAGCCAGCATCACTCTTTTAGAACTGTGTGTGTGTGTGTGTGTGTGTGTGTGTGTGTGTGTGTGTGTGTGTGTGTGTTAGACTTCCAGGGGATCTGGAAGCCTTTTGCTTCTTTTCTATGGGATCTCTGTTAGTGATAATTAAGTCATCCATTCAAAATGGTAGGCCTCTTTTTTCACCTCTTTTACAGTATTTTTCCTAAATACTGTATATTGCTGTCCTCTGTGGGAATTAGTAACAGCCATTCATTTAATGTGTTCCCTGTTCTGAGTGTCCCCCATCACACCTTGTTCCGTAGAATCATGCCAGCTCTTATTTATAGCTCACCCCTTCAGTTACATTTCATAGTTATGCTACCGCAAACTTGCTCAGCCTGACAGCTTCAGTGTGCTTTTGGACAGCAATTGCAATCATTCATAGCAACTATATTTGCAGAGGATGATGGAAGATTGCCAGATGGCAGAGGGCTTTGGCTACCATTAAGGGACATGACATTTTCAGCATCACATAAGAAGGCACCTAGTCGTCCAAAAAGCTTGCAGGCTAAAGTTTATACAAAAACTTCACAGTTCGGAGGAGATATGGCACGAGAGTAATGCAATAAGCAAAACCTGTAATGTATATTTTTGATATTATTTATTTGGTAAGGAGAAGCACAAATTATTTTTTTTAATCTCACAGCCAATAAGAGTTGGTAACTTTTTCCTGCCTCGATTGCTCATGAACAGCAGTTGATTTTAGTTATTTGGACTTTTGAATTTCTAAATTATTTGTACTTTTTCAGTCAGTTCCTTATCAGGACAAGTCTATGAAAATTATTTTTTAATTTATTCTCCATTCTGTACTCAAACACTGAAAATAATCGTAAATCTGAACACTTAATCTTTGCTATGAATGTCTCTTCTTTCTCCCTCTTCTACTAATTCTGACATATTAATCCAGAGAACCTGAATATACATCCCATTCTGAGCGAATTTAGTTCTCCAGTTATAAAATATTATTTACAATATGTCAGTTTGTATCATTAAGAATCAGTGGAATGTGGAACAGGAAACAGTTTGTCAACTAAAGCAAATGCCATAAAGCTGTTTCTGTTGTTGTTGTTGATGATGATGATGATGATATAATAACAACAACAACAAAAGGCAGCTTTACTTGTAACAGCTTACATCCAGCAAAGATATCTTTAACACCATAAATCAACGATATCTGCCTATCACAGGTCCTTTGGAAGGACTAGATAGGTGGGTAAAAATGCCAACTCTAGTCTAAACATCTAGCTAATTGTGCGACCAATCATAATAATAACGATGGCCAAAATTATAATATTGAAGCTTGCTGGTCCTTTTCTACCATATGATTACAACGATCCCAAGGCAGAATTAAATAACTGTTCATGAATTAGTACTATGCAACTAATTTTATTTCATTACTTTTTGTAGCTCCATTCTGATATGGACAGAGGAGATGGATCAATCAAATATATTCTTTCGGGAGAAGGAGCAGGAATTGTTTTTACTATTGATGACACCACTGGAGATATCCATGCCATTCAGAGACTAGATCGAGAAGAAAGGTCTCAGTATACCTTAAGGGCTCAAGCCTTGGACAGACGAACAGGCAGACCGATGGAACCAGAATCTGAATTTATCATCAAAATCCAAGATATCAATGATAATGAACCCAAATTCCTAGATGGACCATATATTGCTTCAGTTCCTGAAATGTCACCAGTGGGTAAGGAAAGCTTAAAGAGCTTAATATGTGTTAAATCATACTTGATTAAATATTTGCTCTGTTCCATCTCTTCTACAAAAACAATTGGGTTGGTTTGTTTGTCTCATTTCTCAGCTTTCATTTAAGAGCTTGAGATATCACACATAATATTTCCTGTTCTTATTTTTCCCAACCACAGGTTGGATCCAATGAACTTTTGCAGATCTCCCCATATCTAGTCCAACACCTTAGACACAACACAACCATGCAGAAGAAAGAATAAAAATTAGATGTACAATCTAGAGCATAATTTCAGGCAAAATCAAAGCACAAGCAGGGTAGAAGAATGACAGTTGTAAAGACTGGCCTTTGTGGAACAAATCGAGTTTTTGTGAATGATCTGCTGAAACTTTCCTGCCAGGATGACTGGCTGGATACTTTGAGGAAAAGATCGTATTGTGTAGCATTAAGTTCAAATCATCTCTAGAAATAAGAGCTCTGTATCTTCATTAGGAAAATTATATTACTCTATGAATATAGTCAATGGCCTCTTCATTTTCATTGCACTTTGCATTAGTTGAGATATATTTTTCATCAGCTGACAATACAGGAACCCTAACGGAGCCCCAAGTGACTGTGATGCTAATAGTTCACTGTTTTGCCTCTAGGATTAGAAATAGTGTGGAAATACAAGATGGTTGTAAAAACATTTCTGAAGGTGTCCTCCAGTTTTTCCTTTTTAATTATTTAAATTTAAAACAAAAGAAATAAAAATCCACATAACTCTTAACAGAGCACCCACACCTTATATCAGGGGTCTTCAAACTTGGCTCTTTTATGACTTGTGGATTTCAACTCACAGAATTCTCCAGCCAGCCCTGCCTTATATGTTGTTTCACTACAGATTAATTTCTGATGAGTAATAAATTTATGCCTGTCACTCACATTACTGTTAATGATTCAGAAGAGCAGCATTCTTAAGAATCAGAAAGAGCTCTTCTCAAGAGAAAGGTTGCAATTCATTGGTCCTTGTTAGAGCTCCGTGTCCTCTCTCCCCAAATCTAACAAGGTTCTTCACTGTTTTTATCAGGCACCTCTGTTATCCAAGTGACAGCAACAGATGCTGATGATCCTACTTACGGGAACAGTGCCAGAGTCGTCTACAGCGTTCTCCAAGGACAGCCATATTTCTCTGTGGATTCCAGAACAGGTAATTTCATCCAAAATCATCCCCAAATATGGCCTCTCCCCTTAGCTGTCATGGCGTACTCAGCTTCGGCTTCATCATCAAAATCCAAATGGTCATTAACCATGTGGTCCATCATATTTCACTAAAGCACCAAGCTCTAAAGTATTGAGCGCACCGATACAAAATAACATGACTTGTTAGGGATCAAGGGCAAATGGATACAGAATTATTAACTTGAGTAAATGCTGTATCAAACTTTAATAGAATTACTGTAAAATATGTGAGGAAATCAAGGTTAAAAGAAACACACAAAAAATGGGATTGCTATAGAAATACAATTTTCCCACTACAAGTAATAGCTTACTATGTCTTCCAAGGTGGGTGGAGAGAGAGGTAGGTGACAGGCAAAGATCTGATCATATGGATGGAACAGCAGTTTAATACCACTGTTACCAGTACACTAAAATCTAAAAGCAGAATTTTTAAAAAAAGAACTCATATCTTGGTCACTTCCAGGCTATAATTACTGTAATGCAGTCTCTACATGAGGCTGCCCTTCAAGAGCTTTCAGAAGCAGCAGCTGGTACAGAAGGCAAGTCGCACAAGTGGTTAATTTCATGATAAGTCCACATAATGCAGGGGTCTTTAAACTTGGCCCTTTTATGACTTGTGGACTTCAAGTCCCAGAATTCCTCAGCCAGCGTGCCTGGCTGAGGAATTCTGGGAGTTGAAGTCCACAAGTCATAAAAGGGCCAAGTTTGAAGACCCCTGACATAATGCCTCTGTTTCTCAAGCTGCACTTGCTTCCAGATGTGATTCAGTTGGTTGTCACCTGTAAAGCCCTCCATGACATTAGGGCAGGATGCTCTTGATCATTTCTGGTCATCTCACCAAAACTTCACGATTGGTATAGTTCAAGTCCCTTCCATCAAGAACTACCATCTTGTGGAACATACCATCTTGTGCTTTCTCTGTTGCAGCACCTGCCCTGTGGAACAGCATTGTCTTCCATCTCTCAAGAGATCAGTCTGGCCTTGATATTTCTGTAGGCCATTAAAACCTGTTTCCTCATGCCTGGAGCTGAAAGATTAAACCAGGCCTATTGGTAGATTTTCTGTTTAATCTGTATGAATTAATAGTTTTAGGACCGGGCATATGTTATGTTAGTTATTGTTGTTGTTGTCGTCATCACAGGTTTCTATTTTTGTTGTTGGATTTAATCCTCTGTTTGCCATCTAACTTCAGTGATGTAAAATGGGCAGCTACATAAATTCTTAAATAAAATAAAAAATAAAAGTATTGGTGAATCTATAAACCTGCATTTACAATAAATCCTGTTCAACCATGAAACAGCCAGGAGACCTTAAGGATTTCTGACTCCTGTTCTATACCCAAGAGCAACATTATTCAGTAAAAGTAGCAGTTGATCTTGGCAGGATTTCTTAGAGCAACCTTGCTCGTGTTTTCTTTCTCAGAAAAGAAAACTGATTTCCACAAACCCAGATGTTAATTAGAGATGGAAAAATTTTCAATGAGTATTACCATCTTCTTGTATTCTCCAGAGCAGACTTGCCCTTCTGTTGTGCTGGTCCAAATCCTGTTTCACTTGAGATACTTGTTAATTGCAATTGGCTTAATTGTTCACCAGGTTCCAGGGGAAAAGCATTGGCATCCCTTTAAGCAGTGTGGGAGCATCATATTAAAGTTCTGAAGCACTGTTTGTATAACAGCCTGACCATCCTGTCAAAATTTCTTAAATGGATCCAACAACAATGTATTGACTTTTTAATGGCATCAAATGTGCATGCGGTTCAGATCAGAAACACAGTGTTTATTTAAAAAGAAATGACATTACAGTTGATTAAATTAAATCATTATGCTAAAATGCAAATATGTGTTGCATCTCTGAGAAGGTAAGAAAAAAAAGTATGAAATATTTCAAATAGTAATTACCACTTAATGCTAACGGGAAAGCTTTTTTGTAATGGTTTTTTTTTTTACATTTCCTATTGAAAATTAAATTCTTCAAAAATAAACAGGATTTCCTGCTATACTCTCAGAGATTCACTGTCTCCTGAGATCACGTTTCACAGCAATTGCTTTGGGTAATCAAAAATGATATCAACAAAATCAGTTCCTGCTGGTAAAAGATTATGCTTTCTTGGAAATCTTTGAAACAATTATTTGAAAAGGCAATAAATTTAGTCCTCAACTTGTAACAGTTCATTTAATGACCATTCAAAGTTACGACAGCACTGGAAAATGTGACTTATGACCGTTTTTCAAAGTTACGACCCCATGATCATGTGATCAAAATTCAGACGCTTGACAACGGGTTCATATTTATGACCGCTGCAGTGTCCCAAAGTCACGTGATTCCCTGTTGTGACCTTCTGACAAGCAAAGTTAGTGGGGAACCCAGATTCACCTAACAACAAGCCAGATTCACCTAACTTATCAACTGCAGTGATTCACTTAACAACTGTGAGTTTTGCCCCATCATAAAATGGGGCAAAACTCACTTAACAATGTCTCACTTAGCCACAGAAATTTAGATCTCAGTTGTAGTCATGAATCGAGAACCACCTGTATTTTCAAATCAAGGCTGACTCCAGTTAATTTGACATATGGTTATTTAATAAATTGATATATATTTTTCTGTGTTATTCTCTGTGGTTTCCATAGGATTAATTAGGACAGCACTAATGAATATGGACAGAGAAGCAAAAGAATATTATGAAGTTATTATCCAAGCCAAAGACATGGGTGGACAGCTGGGAGGATTAGCTGGGACAACTACAGTCAATATTTCTCTCTCTGATGTTAATGATAATCCACCCAGATTTCCACAGAGTAAGTACTGTCCATGGTTTGTGTTTTGTTGTCCTTCAGCTTCTCAATGGATTTCTCAATTTGAAAGTTCATTATTATTTGTTTCCTACCCAGTAAGCATTGGCTATAATCTGAAAATCTCTGAGATGTCATATAAAGATGAAATAGTGTTTTTATTTATGTTGCATAATAAAGCCTGATTTGTATTTATTTGGCACATATTCAGTATGTGAGGCACGTCAAAAGTAACAGCAAGATAAATCCCTGCACTGAAAGCTCACAATGTAAAGTATAAGACAAAGAAGCAAAAGAGGGAAAGATAGAGACCTAGAAAGATAATGATCCTTGAAATAAAAGTATGTCATGAAACTTATTTATTTTTGTAAAACAACCTGAGCCATTGAAAGGAGTTCAGCATCTGACTTGTTGAAAGTTGTTTTTAGCCACAGCTTGAAACAACATGGAAGCCTCTTCCTCTTAAAAATATTGACTTCCCAAATATCTAGGCGGAATATCTTGGCTCTGGCATTATGTGAAATTGTGCATATTTTTCTAGGAAAGGGAGGTGACGTGAAACAGAAGGAATGCGGGGAAAATAGAAGGAATTGTATGCACCCTGGGTGATTCAAAATAATAATAATAATGATAGCTATGGCAACAAGGAGTTAGGGAGAAAAGAAAGAGACAATGAAGGAAGTTAGTTTTGGAGGAGCACAACTTGCCATGGGAAGAGCACTTAGACTTATATACCACTTCACAATGCTTTACAACCCTCTCTAAGCAGTTTACAGTGTCTGTATATTGTCCCCCAAAATCTGGGTCCTCATTTTACTGATGAAGGAAGGAAGGAAGGAAGGAAGGAAGGAAGGAAGGAAGGAAGGAAGGAAGGAAGGAAGGAAGGAAGGAAGGAAGGAAGGAAGGAAGGAAGGAAATCAACCTTGAGCTGGTGAGAATTGAACTGCCAAACTGCTGGCAGTCAGCAGTCAGCCGAAGTAGCCTGCAGTACTGCATTCTAACCACTGTGCCACCCCGGCTTCTTATGTCAAACCAGAGGTTAAAGGAACCGTGGGACTGAAGGAACCATGAGAAGATTGTGACCCTGAAAATAGAGAAGTTAGGAACAAAAAACTCTGGGGTGTAATTTCAGTTGTATTATTGAAGAAAGGATCAGGTTTTAAGAGGATAGTCCTGTAAATGGCTGAGAGTAAGTGCAGTTTGAAAAACAAACAAAAGTGCTGAAAACATTCTAAAGAAATTGTTCTGAGGATTGTTGTCGTTCTTAAGCTAATTACTTCTTTGGTGTCTACTATTTGGCCTGGATCAGCTAGGATAGGTCAGCTGCTCTTATTTTAGCATCACTTGTGCCAGGAGAAAAACCAACTCCATCAGCAAAGCACACACTCCCATGGTGAAAAATCTGCCCCTGTAGTCCCAAGGCAGCCTGAGACCTACACCAAATGCCTGAGGCTGAGCTTAGTGAATCTTAAAACAGGTGCATCTGTAGAGAAGCAATGAAAAATCTTTGTTTGGGCTGCTTTGTCTTTGGATCTAGGCTCTAAATGCGACAAGCACATTGGTTACTGCAACAGGCATCCGTTAATGTTTTCCACCAGCCCAGTATCAGGGCCCCAAATCCTTATTGTCTACCTTGCATATATATATTCTTGTGTTTTTGTTTTGGGGCCTGCCATTCTACTGGGGGGAGGGGGGATATTTGTTTTTGCTTGGGATAACTTTCGCTTTCTACTTTTCCTCTCCCACCTTTATCTATTTGAGAAAGGAATGTGTCTCCCTTATCAAGGAGAGGGTTACAGAGAAATGAAACTGGAGAAGACCTTGAGATGCTAGCCAACTGTGCCCAGTAACCCACACATCATGCCACCTGTGGATTGGCTGGATTTCAAATGGACATTATGACTCTGGTGGGAGGAGGAATATTGCTGGTTTAACTCTACCGTTTGAGCGGGATTTTCCCCAGATCTTGCCTTGACTTCCCTACTGTCACTAACCCCTAATAAAAGTTTCTTTTTGAGACAATGCCTGTTTCAAGAGTTCTGCTTTCTAGGGGGGGGGGGTCCTTACACCCAGATCCTGCTAATCCTGCCACTATGGCAAGAAAGGGGGAACAGCATCAAAGCCCAGCATAGCCAGAGAGTTCCCAGGACCTGGTCTTACCCAATTTTCAGGGTTGTCCTAAGGAAAGGGAGGAGGTCTGGAGGCAGCTAAAAAAAAATGTCTGAAAGAAAGCAGCAACCAACTACTTTCGTACTGTTGTCAAAAGAGCTATACAGATGTTTCTGTCTTGCAATCAAGACAGTTAAGCTCAGTTTGCAGGAGACAGACCAGTGTGTGTGAGTGTGTGTGGAAGTGGATATACAACTGCAAAACAAAAAAAAAATCATTTCTAATTTTTATTATGTAATTTATTTAAATTCTCCCACTGAAATCTATAGGAGTTTAACTTTGCTTGGAGTAACTCCCAGTCCATTTGTTGTTGGCAATCATTTTCTTTTTCTCACTTATTTCTCCAGAGCATTATCAGATGAGCGTCCTGGAATCCGCTCCAGTCAGTTCCACCGTGGGTCGTGTTCTTGCTAAAGACTCGGATGAAGGTATTAATGCTGAGATGAAATACAGCTTTGTGGATGGGGATGGACTGGATGTCTTTGACATTACCACTGATCTTAATTACCAAGCTGGCATCATCACTGTGAGAAAGGTAATCAATTTTGTTTCTCAAATGTGTGCAAGCACTTTTGAACACAGCGATATCTGAATATACGTGGCAAATCTCGTCTGGCCAGCAATTTGATTTACTGAAGTACTGAAACACAAACAGACCATTGCAAGGAATAACTCATTGCAAGGAATAACTTCATTTTCTTTCATATTAAGTTCTGATAAAATGAGGCATTCCGCATGCAGGTTTTTGGTTTGCCAAGGGGCAAACAAATTGCTTTTTTTTTTTTTTGCAGTAAGCTTAAGGAAGGATCTGTCCTTTCCCATTTTATTCTCTCCACAGTCTAAGTCAGGGATGTCAAACTGCCAGCCCGTGGGCAGTTGCGGCAATGGGGGGAAAGTCCCGATACATCACGCGATGTCACGTGACATCCCGAGTTTGACATGCCTGGTCTAAGCGAAGGGTTAGTTTGAAAGGTAGTGGCCTATCCATGGTCACTAGTAAGCATTCAAGACCAATGGGAGATTGCAAACTTTGCTAGCTCTTGTCCAGAAAGCACACGATTAGCACCAGAAGGAATGGAAAAAACAGTCTTCTCTTTTGATATGACCATGACCAGGCTTGCAAAGCTTTGGCAGGGTTAACAGCTGGCAGTGGGACATTGCTCCAGACTGGAAGGAATTGGTACTCTTTTAACTTTTTCAAATTCTTGGTTATATTCACTGTGCAGGTAGTCCTTGACTTAGAACAATTTGTTTAGTGACCATTAGAAGTTACAACAATGTTGAAAAAAGGAACTTATTATTTTCATACATACCATGTGTGAAAATCATGCAGCATCATGATCAAAATTTGGATGCTTGGCAACTGACTCATATTTATGATGGTTGCAGTGTCCCAGCATCATGTGATACCTTTTGTGACCTTCTGACAAGCAAAATCAGTGGGGAAGGCATATTCACTTAAAAACCGTATTACTAACTTAACAACTGCAGTGATTCACTTAACAACTGTGGCAAGAAAGGTCATAAAATGGGGCAAAACTCACTTAACAATTATCTCACTTAGCCACAGAAGTTTGGGCCTCAATTGTGGTTATAAAACGAGGACTACCTATACTAATGAATTTGTATATAGATGTATACAAATTACATATAGTAGCTGTCCCAGAGATGTGAATGTGTGCTTATAGTTCTCTATTAAACATGGATCTGACGATGCTTAGTGCATGAACATGAAAATATGGATAGAGAAGAAAAATAAACTTCTTCCCAAAATAGAAGTTGCTTCTAAACCAACAACTTCTGAAACTAGCAGGCATTTTGTTTTTTGTTTTTGTTGTTGTTGTTTTTATTTAAGCAGGCATTTTGTTTTGATCAAGGTCTGTGCCAATTAAAAGGATTCCATTTTGCTAATATTCGGCAAAGTATCCATTATATAAAAGTAAACAGCACATAACCAGTGCATTCTTGGAAATTAAGTTACCAGCTGGAAGCCTCATAATGTTGTATAAGATCTTTGCAACCCCCATTTCTACATCAACTTTTACAAAGATTCTTTGGTCATTCCTAGAACTTGCTTTGCTGTTGTTATGAGGATTCTTTTTAATTATCCTTTTACTGTTACACATAAAAAGCACGCATTATGTATCAGTGCAATACAATTATTGGTGTCATTTTCTTCAGAGGTAGAATGTGCCCAACAAAAATGCATGAAAGCTCAGCATGGAGCAGAAATTGATCTGCAAAAAGGGAGAGCCTAGCATGATGCTTTTGATTTTATTCTATTTCTCTGTAATAAAGACCTCTCTTTAAGAGTTTCAGCAGTAATAATAGACTAACCAAAACATAATATATTTAAAACTCATTAGTTTCAGTGAAATGCTTAAGCATGTGCATAACTCCATTAACATCAATGGGATTAATAGTATATAAGCACAGATGATTATAGCCATTAAAATGTAAAAATGTGCAGCCTGTACACTATATACTACTAGTGTATTCTTAATGTGATTGCTTCCACTAATCCTTTTTTTAAAATAATATCTTTATTAAATTTCAAAGTCAAACATTAAAATACGAACTAACATAAAAGGGAAAAGGAATAGCAAAACAGATTAAAAGTGACAAAAAATACACCCACAGTAAACACATTTGCAATAAAGATGACCTCCAACTTTCTTTTAGTCTGCAGATAATAACAGTTCAACAACCTCTCTCTAAATTTAACATAATAATACCTATATCTTAGAATACTAGTGATCAACTTTCTAAAATATCAACAGTCAGAAAATATTATTCTCTTAATTTAATATATTAATATAATGATAATAAATTAATATAATTTTAATTGTAAAATTTAAAAATTAATATATTATTATTGTTAAATAAATTATTTGACAATAAATTGTCAAAACTTCTCTAGAGAGAAGTTCCGTGAAGATGGGCTCCTGCACAAGTCCGAAAGTTCAGAAGACCTCTGATCCCCCTGACTGACCCAGATTGAATCCCAAAATAGATCTCTCCAACACCATGTATGGATAAGCTTAGACATGCTTTCTTTTAACGATATTGATAAGTATGAGGAATAGGTTCATTTCAGTAGCAGAGATTGCTTTATAATTTGTCTTCTATTTCTTCCTCTCTTTTCTCCAGCCACTGAGCTTTGAAACCAAGAAAAGTTACACTTTAAAAGTAGAAGGTGCCAATCCACACCTTGAAATGCGTTTCTTGAACCTAGGTCCATTTCGTGACTCTACAACTGTGCATATCAGTGTGGAAGATGTGGATGAGCCCCCAGTCTTTGAGCCTAGTTTTTATTTTGTGGAGGTGCCTGAAGATGTGGATATTGGGACCACCATACAAATGATAAATGCCAAGGACCCTGATGTGATCAACAATTCAATCAGGTTTTATTTTTTTTCCTTAATCTTTCTAATTGTCCATTATACAAACTCCTTGGATTTTCTTGACTAATAGGAGATCACAATACCAAATGAAATACAATATCGAATTGTATATTCTTCTCTTGTTTGGGGCCAGTTTATTCAGCAAAATCATCATTGTATTATTCGTTTAAATCTGAATCAACATTTATTAAGACCTGTCTCTCCATCTATACTACCATTGTAGTATAGATATCATGGAACTTGTAGGCCACTATGGAATTTCAGAGGAATTTTGTGTGGTGAAGACATAGTTTGCTCAATCAGTATTCTATTTTTTTATAGATATTTTATTGTTTTTTAACTATAACAATCTCCAGTACCTGGTGTACAGCATGTTGTCTTGGTTTATATTTTAACAAGAAAAAAAGGACAGTAATAATTAACCGTCAATAATGATTAAATTTGATAATTCCATAATTAATATATTAATTAATAATACATTTCTTTGATCTTCCCTTCTCCCATTTGTATTTTCCTTCTTCAACCTTAGCCAAAATATAATTCTTAATATTTTCAATATTTTTTCAGCTTATATTATTCTCATAACCATCATCTCATTAATTCAGCATACATCCTATTTTTATAATTTTTGTTTGCTTAGATTCCCTTATATTCAATAACCAATTCTTATCAGTCATAATTTCTTCATATTAGTCATCTCACTGTCTAAATTTTCCCAATATTTTATGTCATGCATTATAAAAATACTATACTTTTTATCTGTCTTATAGTATCTAGATATAACATCCTTTTTAATCAGTTTATATTTTACTTATATATTAATAAAAATTACATCAACCTACTATTTTAACATTTAAAATATTATAAAACATACTATATTACTTAAATCTCATTATCCTTCTTGTTATAAGGCCCCTTTATGTTCAAAATTCTCTGTTCTTTTAGCCATATTCAAACAAATGTTTATTCACGTAATAGTCCATCTTGTAGGGCGAGTCAAATCTCTTGTATTTGTTTCTAATCATCTTCTTTTGCCAAGTAATTTTCCAAGTTGATGTAATCCACTTACCCAACAGTTCCTGTATTTTTACAAATATTGTTGGGAATACAAAAGATGAAGTAAGTAAGATACATTCTTTCTGTCCCCCAAACTTTAAAGTCCTCCTAATAATTCCATTTTTCTTGTTGTATCAGAACCTTGTAGATTTTTTCCTGTTTGTGTCAAATTGTAATTCTTTTCGTTTGTTATTTCATCAATTTGATCGTACTTTTCTAGTTTCTAATCTGTGTCTGATTTGTTTGTTCCTTTGTTGTTATTTTAATTGTAGATTTAGATTGGAAATATGCTTTTTTATGCTCAAAATATGCTCAAAGTTGTTTCGAATTTCATCATGATTTGAATCTATTGTCATTTGTATTTGTCCTAACATTACATATATTTCCTCCAGGAAAGTATTTATCTTGCCTTGAAGTATTGCTTCTGGAGGCCCTTGATTTTCCAGGCTAAGTCCTTCAGGATAAAATATTGAATGTGGCATCCTGTCATCCCTTGATACGCATCTGATATCTATGTTGTCTCCCCCCTTCAAACAATCTCTCATCAATTTTCTAATGCAAAAGTCAATTTATCAGTCAATCAAAGTTACAGATTCAGTATATTAAGCTATTTTAAATCCCTCCTGCAAATTCTCCTCTGAAAGATTAGCCAAAAAGCCAAGGTCTTTCCCCTCCACAAACAATTCCTAGGTTGAAGCAACAGTCCAGGTGTTGTTGTTTTTTCTTTTCAAACACTTTTTAATCTTATTGCTGGCTCTTCCTATGTTCCCAGCTGCCTTCAAGGTTATTTGCAATTCAAAGGAACAACTTTTTCTTTGTTTCTGGGCATTCTGCCAATTTCTGAGTCCTTATTGTTAGTGTTCTATTCTCTTATTCTCCACTAGATGTCAGCAATTATTTCTTTTTTCAGTTTTTCTTTCAATCAAAAAGTTATTTTTGTTATATATTTTTATAATTCCATCAGAAATTTTTTAGGGTATAATCTTGACAGTTTTTTTAGTTCCTAGATTTGTCCAGGCTGAAATATTTTAAATCAAATTTTAATATATCTCTTTCTACCTTTTATGTTAATTTGCCACTTCCATCTGTAAGGGAATGGGGATATAGTCCCCTCCCTTCACTTCTGGAGGTTTCTTGCTTTGGGAATCTTTTCAAGGATTTAAATAGTAGATAGAAGAAAGAAGATTAGTACTCTTACCAATTCCAAGCACTCTGTTCACCGATGTTTAGGTTTGTGCTCTGGGACTTCGGCTGCAAGCAGCTTGGACTAGTTGCTGATCTCACACTAGCTTTCTCCTGTCAGGTTCGGAGGGCTTTCCCCAGATCAAACGAAGCAATTGCCATTGCTTCATGATCTATGGGGCGCCCCTCCTTCACAGTCACCTCTCTGGGGCAACTTTGGACCCATCTAGGATCCCCCAAGCAGGAAGAAACTAGCCATGGGGAGCAGAGGTCTGCTCTCGTGCGGCCATCTGCTACCGACGCAAAAACCAGAAGCCCACAATCAGTATTCTAGCTGATTGCATAGTTCGTGCAATCCATCTCTTATCGTGTCTTTGCAAGGCAAACCTAGTATGGTGCTCATCATGTTATCCTAAAGGATATATTTCTAAAAATGTGCAAATCCCTAGAAATGGGAAGAGTGAGAAATTAGAAAAATTATCTTATTCCAGTGTTAACAAATGGCTTTTGGAAATGTGTAACTAATCTTTCCTGAAAAAGGCAACATTTTCACAAATCAAACAACAAAGCAATATGTTTTTCTTTTGCAGAGACGTTATGTCATTTTACAATAATATTTTGTAGCTGATAATGTTAAAGTGTTGTATGGTATTGATTAACAAACTAGTGATTATATATAAGTTTAATAGAGAAGCCTTCTGTATACAATTGGATGCAATTCTATGCAATCCAGTATTCTTCCATAACAGGATCTTTGTTATATGGATACCAACAGTAAGGTTGAACATGCCATTGTCTACATGTCAACAGGAGAAGAGGTTTATCCAGAGTGATCATGTAGTGCACCATATATTTTATAAGGCCTGAATAACTTGTTTGTATGTTAAGGTAATAAATTCCAGATCTAGAATATATTACTATAAAAACTCCATAAGATTCAGTTGTTTCACTCCTCTTTCTTTTTGATATCCTTTAATTAAAATATCAACTTTTAGAATAAAAAAGGGAGTATGTTAGGGAATTCTAGGGACAGCATTTGTAAGAGAAGATAAAAACTAATCTTGAAGGATAGAGTAGATTTACATAAAAAAAGATGATTTGTCAACCCAGTCCCAAACCATTTAAGACAGTAAAAACAGTAAACTGCATATTAAAACAAACTGGCAATGAAAGTAGAAAATAGATGTTACCTGATCCCAATAGATGGGATTCTACCTTTTACCAACTCAGTTCTCTACATGTATTTGTACAATTAAGTCTCAATTAATGTGGTTAATGGTCACATTATTTCAATCCTGAATCAAAATGAAATTTCTGTGGAAAACAGCATAATTGGTTCCAGTTCAATGGAAATAGACAATTAACATTTTTAAACATACGCTTGTATATATTTATTAATAAAATACTATATGCCAGTGGGGGAAAAAAGGATAAATCCATATCCAAAGAGTATGAGCTACCTCCTGTATTCTGCTACAGTTTTTCAAAATAAGCCTCCTCTTTTTTCAACCTTCCTTTCCTCTGTTTTGAACAAACAATGATTTGCATCTAAAACCCGAATTGCACTCATGTGCTAGCCACAACTGTGCCTGTGCTGGCCTTACACTAAGTGAATTTTGGCTCTTAATTAAATATGATCTGCTTATCAACTTATAAATCACACTAAAATGAATATTGCATTATTTGAACTCACACTACTCACAACCTCGCTTTATCTAAAAAATATTCAAAAGGACAGGTACACCCTCTACAGATTTAGCACAAGATAGACTTTGGCCTAAGTACTGAAACATTCCATAATCAGACCTGGGAGATGAACAATGTGTCCTTCTAATGATCTATTGGAAAGTACTGACCAAGAGATGGAGTACAGGAGAAACTGTTAACATAACTTTACAATAAGGTTAGAGCTATACTTCTTGTGTGGAATACCTTGCAAGGCTGACAACAGTCTTGCAAAGCTGAAAATACATCTCCCCCCCCCCCATCTTGCCTTGCCAAGAAACTAGGGAAGGTCCTTTCTGAGATGTTTTCTATTGTCCCATTATTCCTTCTGTGGACTAAGCTGCCTCTTGTCTCACCATTGCCTAATCTCTTCCTTTTGTCTGCCAAGGTCATTCTCAAAGTCTGCTTGCAGATATCCTATCTTCTTATCTATTTAGCAGTCTGAACCTACTTTAAATGCTGATAGGTAAAACTATTGAGCTCCAGACAACCTGAAATAAATAGCAGCAGCCTGAGAGGCAACACCGTGATATTTTATATTGCTTCCTACCTTCAGAGTAAATGATGTACTTTGCAAAGTTAATACCATATAAAATCAGGAAGTCAATTCAACTTAAATTCCGTAATCCATTCATTTAAAAGCAATGGGGCCAAGATGGCTCATTCAGAACCATTTTTCACTGAGCTAACCTTCCTTAAAGAATCTGGGGAAGAAATGATGTTACACAATGATACACAAATGATACACAAAATGTTACAAATTCAAAAAAAAAAAAAGTGTTTAGAAGACAAAGTGAGAAAAAGTTTCTTGGATGAATAGTCTCCTGAAATTACTTTGTCCCCAGCAGTGACAAGCTTTTCTTGATGACAGTCAGCTAAGCAGAGAATTAATTTGGAATTCTAAAGATCTTGGATACAGTCCAGCCAAAGTTAAAACTTTTTTAGTTTCATTGGCACCCAGTGGAATAAATGTAAGAAATGTACTCTCACATTAAACTTTGGCTGGATTGTGCTCTTATATCTCAAAACTGTAAACTAACATTCCAGTCAATAAATTGTGCTTGTTTCATATTGTATCCTACAAACTCTGCAATCCATAGAAATTCCAAGAAATAATACTTAAAATCAAAGATTCACAAATGTCTATTAATTATTTTTAAAGGAACTGCATTTTACTGAAAATAAAATATGAATGAGACTGCATTCTGTTTTCAGTCATTATTTGTTGTTGTTGTTAATTGCGAAGTCGTGTCCGACCCATCGCGACCCCATGGACAATGTTCCTCCAGGTCTTCCTGTCCTCTACCATCTTCTGGAGTCCATTTAAGTTCACACCTACTGCTTCAGTGACTCCATCCAGCCATCTCATTCTCTGTATAAAAACCTTTTATTTCTGAAATAGTAAAAGCTATATTTTTCCAGTTAAAAAGGGGACGTGATGCATTTAGAGAGTTTCATCTCACCTTGTCTTGTTCTAAAGAGGCCATGATCATTTATTTTGAATACTCAACTTTATGAATGTTTATTCAGAAGTAAGTTCAATTTTATTGAGTGGGATTTGTTGGGGGTGGGCTATCCTTTAATGTAGCTTTTTTATTTATTTTATTTATATCCCGCTTTTATTATTTTGATAAATAACTCAAGGCGATTAACATTAATACTCTTTCATCCTCCAAGCCTATGAGGTGAATAAGGCTGAGAGAAAGTAACTAGCCCAAAATGATTGACATGGCACGATATGGGAATTTCTTGTATCAATGGTGATCAGGAGTTAAAATAATTTCTGGTTCTGTAATTACTGTACATTCAGTCTTTCACGGAGTGTGCAACAGCTATTTTATATATCTTGATTCCAAAATATGCTCAGAGGAGTTGTTAGGGACCGGACTTCCATGTTTTAACTTTTTAATGAAACTTAAATGACCACTTTTTGAGTACACTGTAGAATTTGGTTGTAGTATCGGGAGATGCACTAACTATTCATGCACAAATGTATGATTCTGAAACTGCAACCCTCTGCAGACTCTTAACTGAAATTATGTCATACTGAAAATATTGGTGCTTAATTTGTAGAAACATTGTGGAATTGTATTGCATGAATAAGATTTCACTTTTACTGCCCTGAGTAAATTCATGAATATTTAGAAGCAAGTCCCACTGTGATTGGTGTAGTTATTTCATTAGCATGTTTGTATACTGCATTAAATAATGCTTTTTTTCTGGCCTGGACACACTATGAATATTAACTGCTTTTCGTGTCTCCAAAGGTCAATTACCAAACAAAGAAAGATATCTAGTTCTTCCTAATGTTACCAACTGCTAATTCTGTTCATCTTAATTGTTTTCCATTGTCCTAAACTTAAAAAAAAGAGCTATGCCTCTTATTCTTTCTCAAAGAAAGAACCTTCAATACTTTTATATTTCTTAATTTAATTTGTTATTAATTGCGAAGTCGTGTCCGACCCATCGCGACCCCATGGACAACATTCCTCCAGGTCTTCCTGTCCTCTACCATCTTCTGGAGTCCATTTAAATTCACACCTACTGCTTCAGTGACTCCATCCAGCCATCTCATTCTCTGTCGTCCCCTTCTTCTATTGCCCTCAATCTTTCCCAGCATTAGGCTCTTCTCCAGTGAGTCCTTCCTTCTCATTAGGTGGCCAAAGTACTTGAGTTTCAACTTCAGGATCTGGCCTTCTAAAGAGCAGTCGGGGTTGATCTCTTCTAGGACTGACCGGTTTGAACGCCTTGCAGTCCAAGGGACTCGCAGGAGTCTTCTCCAGCACCATAGTTCAAAGGCCTCAATTCTTTTGTGCTCAGCCTTTCTTATGGTCCAACTTTCACAGCCATACATTGCAACTGGGAAAACCATGGCCTGGACTATACGCACTTTTGTTGGCAGGGTGATGTCTCTGCTTTTTAGAATGCTGTCTAGATTTGCCATAGCTTTCCTCCCCAGGAGCAAGCGTCTTTTAATTTCTTGGCTGCAGTCCCCATCTGAGGTGATCTTGGAGCCCAGAAAAATAAAATCTGTCACTACCTCCATTTCTTCCCCATCTATTTGCCAGGAATTGAGAGGGCCGGATGCCATGATTTTGGTTTTCTTAATGTTGAGTTTCAAGCCAACTTTTGCACTCTCCTTCTTCACCCGCATCAAGAGGCTCTTTAGTTCCTCTTCACTTTCTGCCATTAGAGTGGTATCATCTGCATATCTTAGGTTGTTGATATTTCTCCCGGCAATCTTAATTCCAACTTTTGATTCATCTAGCCCTGCCTTTCTCATGATGTGCTCTGCATATAAGTTAAATAGGCAGGGCGACAGTATACAGCCTTGCCGGACTCCTTTTCCAATTTTGAACCAATCAGTGGTTCCGTGTTCAGTTCTCACTGTTGCTTCTTGACCCGCATATAGGTTTCTCAAGAGACAAATGAGATGGTCTGGTACTCCCATCTCTTTAAGAACTTGCCACAATTTGTTGTGATCCACACAATCAAAGGCTTTTGCATAGTCAATGAAGCAGAAGTAGATGTTTTTCTGGAACTCCCTAGCTTTCTCCATGATCCAGCGTATGTTGGCAATTTGATCTCTAGTTCCTCTGCCTCTTTGAAATCCTGCCTGTACTTCTGGTAGTTCTCGATCCACATACTGCTGGAGTCTAGCTTGTAGGATTTTAAGCATAACTTTACTAGCATGTGAAATGAGTGCAATGGTGCGATAGTTTGAACATTCTTTGGCATTGCCTTTCTTTGGAATTGGAATGTAAACTGACCTTTTCCAATCCTGTGGCCACTGTTGAGTTTTCCAAATTTGCTGGCAAATTGAGTGTAGCACTTTTACTGCATCGTCTTTTAAGATTTTGAATAGCTCAGCTGGAATACTGTCACCTCCACTAGCTTTGTTGTTGCTCAGATTTTCTAAGGCCCATTTCACTTCACATTCTAGGATGTCTGGTTCGAGGTCAATGACCATCTCATTGTGGTTATCTGGGATGTTAAGCTCATTCTTGTATAGTTCTTCTGTGTAGTTTTGCCATCTCTTCTTAATCTCTTCTGCCTCTGTTAGGTCTCTGCCATTTTGGTCCTTTATCATGCCCATCTTTGCATGAAACGTTCCCTTCATATCTCCAATTTTCTTGAAGAGATCTCTAGTCCTCCCTGTTCTGTTGTTTTCTTCTATTTCTTTGCACTGTTCATTTAAGAAGGCATTCTTATCTCTTCTAGCTACTCTCTGGAATTCTGCATTCAATTGGGTGTATCTTTCTCTTTCTCCTTTGCCTTTCGCTTCCCTTCTTTCCTCAGCTATTTGCAAAGCTTCCTCAGACAGCCATTTTGCTTTCTTGCATTTCTTTTTCTTTGGGATGGTTTTAGTTGCTACCTCTTGTACAATGTTGCGAACTTCCATCCATAGTTCTTCAGGCACTCTGTCTATCAGATCCAGTTCCTTAAATCTATTTGTCACCTCTACTGTATATTCATCAGGAATATGATTTAGTTCATACCTGAGTGGCCTAGTGCTTTTCCCTACTTTTTTCAATTTAAGCCTAAATTTTGCAACGAGAAGCTCATGATCTGAGCCACAGTCAGCTCCTGGTCTTGTTTTTACTGACTGTATAGAGCTTCTCCATCTTTGGCTGCAGAGTACATAGTCAATCTGATTTCTATGTTGACCGTCTGGTGATGTCCATGTGTAGAGCCGTCTCTTGGGTTGTTGGAAAAGAGTGTTTGTTATGACCATCGTATTCTCTTGACAAAATTCTATTAGCCTGTGCCCTGCTTCATTTTGTTCTCCAAGGCCAAACTTGCCTGTTATTCCGGTTATCTTTTGGCTTCCTACCTTAGCATTCCAGTCCCCCATGATGATAAGGACATCATTTTTTGGTGTTAATTCTATAAGGTGCTGTAGGGCTTCATAGAACCGGTCAATTTCATCCTCTTCAGCACCAGTGGTTGGGGCATAGATTTGGACTACTGTGATATTGAATGGTTTGCCTTGGATTCGAATTGAGATCATTCTGTCATTTTGGGGATTGTATCCCAGTATTGCTTTTCCTATTCTTTTATTGACTATGAAGGCTACTCCATTTCTTCTGAGGGATTCTTGCCCACAGTAGTATACCTGATGGTCATCTGAGTTAAATTCACCCATTCCTGTCCATTTTAGTTCGCTGATTCCTAAGATGTCTATGTTCATTCTTGTCATCTCTTTTTTGACTACGTCTAGCTTGCCTTGATTCATGGATCTTACATTCCAGGTTCCTATGGAGAAAAAATCTTTACAGCATCGGACTTTCCTTTCACCACCAGATATATCCACAGCTGAGCGTCCTTTCGGCTTTGGCCCAGTCGCTTCATTCTTTCTGGCGCTACTAGTACTAGCCCTCTGCTCTTCCCCAGTAGCATATTGGACACCTTCCGACCTGAGGGGCTCATCTTCCAGCGTCATATCTTTTTGCCTTTTAGTACTGTCCATGGGGTTTTCATGGCAAAGATACTGGAGTGGTTTGCCATTTCCTTCTCCAGTGGATCACATTTTGTCAGAACTCTCTGCTATAACCTGTCCGTCTTGGGTGGCCCTGCACGGCATAGCTTATAGCTTCATTGAGTTATGCAAGCCCCTTCGCCACGACAAGGCAGTAATCCATAAAGGGGATTTAATACGGGTGTTAATTTTTTTAACCTTTTCAAAATTTAATAACTAGAATCAAACACTTTCCTTGTATTAGTGCAACAAGCAAAGAATTATACATGTCTTTCTTTGTTAAAAGAGGCAAAAAAAAAAAACAGAATCCAAAGTGAACTAGCATTATTTCTTCTATTCCTACTGCACAAGTCAATGTTAAAAGATTTTTCAGGGATTGAGTGACTGAGCCAGTAAACTACACATATAAATTAGCATCTGAACAGAATTACTGTTAAATCCACAGAGCTAAAAAAAACTAGTAATGAAACTAGTTTCAATTTATAGTGGTAAGTTCTAACTACGTATTTTAAAATGTGAACTTCTACAGATATTCCATTGATCGAAACAGCGATCCTGGACGCTTCTTTTATGTGGACATTACAACAGGTGCTCTGATGACTGCCAGACCTCTGGATCGGGAGGACATTTCATGGCACAATATCAGTGTGCTAGGTGTGGAAACGAGTAAGGCAATCAAAATATCATTTATTTAATGTGTCTATGTGTGTCTGTATGTCTATTTCTGTATAGCAAGGATATATCACTGGAGGCTTTCAAGAAGAGACTGAAATGGTTTGTCTGAAATGGTTTGAGAGGGGAGTTGGACTAGATGACCTCCAAGGTCCCTTCCAACTCTATGTTCTAAGGTTGTACAGTTCTTTACCTGTCTGGACAGAAAACAAGTATGTTTATGCTTGTAGTAGAAGAAAGAAAAGAAACGAGGAAAAATAGAATAATTTCTCTTTTGTATTTCTATTGAGTGCTCCGATGTACATACTTTGACTTAAACATAACACAAACAAGTCTGAATAGCACTATATTTGTGCCATGTCTCTGGGTTATAGCTTTGATCTTCTTCACAACTGTTGAGTAACACAGTCATCCTTTTCTATTCCAGTATTAAAGTAGCAGCACTTCAATTTTGTTCCCGTCCCTCCTAATTCCTAACACTGTTCAAAGGCAGCTTCAAGATATATGACATTTTTTAGTGTTTGTCACACATTATCCTAGAGAAAAGTCACTGGCAGTGTTAAATGCAGGCAGAAGAGGAATCAACAAAGGAGACATCGTGTATTATACCAAGCATGGATGCATAATATTTCCATTCAGCAGTGATGAAGGCCAAGCTTCAGACTATATCTACCAACTCCTGTTCTCTTTCCTCTGGCTTCCCTAAAGCACATGAAAAGGTTAACCTGGGTCCCATCTGATCAGGATTTAAAACCAGCCTCCCAAATCCAGCTTTTGATCATTCAACTGCAATTAAGAAGCCAGTGCATTTTTATATGTCCTGCGGTGGGAAAACTCATGTATATATACAAATAATGAAATTAGAATTTAATTTGTATACCCCTGGGGGCTCTGTGAAGTTTGGTTACTCAAATAGTTAACATTCAAGGGATTATGGTATAAGGGAGGTTTGATGTTTTTCTATGAAATACAGTTCAGATAAGAGCTACCTTATACATACTCTCTCCAGGAATTATTAGTTGCAGAACAGGGGCTCTGAATATTATAGAGTTTATCAGAGTAGGAAAAAAAACAATATCAAAAGAAGATTAGCTGACTCAGGGAATTGCTAAAAGGTTCCGCCTCTGATTGAAAAACTCTTTGAGAAAACAATTGTTTGTTGTAATTGTCCTACAAAATGCTTTAAATAAATAAACTATCAAACCTAATTTGGGACAGAAAAAGCTACTTTCTAGGATCTCAGCTACATTCCAAAACTTATTTTTGGTTCATCTCTGCTTTAGAATTAGAGCAATATTTCTAAAAACATTTCCCTTATGAGTGGAACTGGCTATCACACCAAATTAAAACAACTTAACCCGGGCTTAGTTCTCATTTTGCTATACAGTGGAATTCATTGTCAAACATGATATTACTATGCTGTGGGTCTTACAACTGCTCCCCAACATAGAACTAGTGATTTAACACCTGAAACCATCCTCAGTGGACACAGAAAATGTCATCAAAATATGAGTGCCTTAGTTCCTTCTGATTTATTGCCCACTTAAACATCCCATGAGATACCATCATATTTTGAGAAGGAGAATTATGATATGGTCTTGTTACATCACATGGTGAATATGGTGTAGAAAGAAAATCCCACTGTTAAGATATTTAGACCGCTAAAACTCTGTATAATCTTTTTGTTTACAAGGCTGGTGATAAGCTTCTGGCCAGCAAGGATTATGTTGAAGTATCCCATTTAGATATTACCACCTACATGTGGAAAATATATATTACACTATTTTCATTTGTACAATTCCAGAGAAATGTTTAAACTATTGTGACATCAAATCAGTATCACAGATACTGTAGAAGTAATAGTTTTATAAAGTTGCAGTTCTTCTAATTTATTATTATGATTGGTTGCACAGTCAGCTAGATGTTTAGATTTGGCATTTTTATCCACCTATTGAGTCCTTCCCAAGGGCCTGTTATTAATATAATTAATGTATTGGTCACCAAACTCCAGTTATTATTTTGTTTATATAACTTTTCCAAATACTGTGTGCTCTCTTGAATACTGCATTCCAAAATGCACGTTTCTTTCTGCGTATTTCTGACTTGAAGCTGATGGAATGGTTCATTCCAACTGATCTGTGTTATGTAAAATCCTTGTTGATAAATCCTAGCACTTTGCTCCCATTGCGATTTGTGATAAATTTGTTTTGCAGTCCTGTGTGTATGACTACCACTAGCCCTGCACAGTCCTATTTTCACAAGGGCAAATCACAAACTGCCCAACATATATAAAATTACATTAGTAATTATATTAGTTTTAGAATATTTTTTTAATTTCTTTTATCTAAAAATATTTGAAATAGTCTAATTGCAGTTTAATCCCTGTTTAATAGTTAACAAAATTAAATTATGGGTTTTAACATAAGTCTGACAGACAGAGGGATGTTTAGCCATTTCACAATCCAAGAAGCAAATTTAATGCATAACTTACATTAAAAACATTTAAAAACTGACTAGTTTAATTGTATCTACATATCTAGTAAGTAAATACAGATAAAATTATAAGTTGAAAAATATATGTCTTTTTGTTTATGTATTTAGATATCTCACTGACTAGATGATTCTGGGTGGTTTACAGCAAAAAACATAAAACCAAAGAGATAGAATTAAAAACAGAGTTAAAAACAGAATTAAGAACAAGTTCAAAGGCAAGAAGGAGAGGAAGGCGCACCCTTAAGCACTAAGCAATCCCAAGGTTGCATGCTGTTCTTTATGCCAGTTGGCAGAATCAGGTCTTCAAATTTTTGTGGAATCTAGAAGAGTGGAGGCCATCTTCACCTCCAGGAGCAACGTGTTGCATAGATCAGGAGCAATGAGAGAGAAAGCTGTCTTAGATGCCACCAGCCAAAAGTCTAAACACAGATACTATCTACTGTATCTGGGAAGTGCATTCTCCAGAGCTCTTTCATTCAATTCAAGATTAATTTATGCTCAGGCAGAACACCTCTGATATTAATTCACTCTTATCTCCTTTCAGACAATCCTTCACAGGTTGGCAGTGTTTCAGTAACAATAAGAGTCCTGGATGTAAATGACAACGTACCAGAATTTCCCAGGTTCTATGAGGCATTTGTCTGTGAAAATGCAAAAGTTGGACAGGTGAGAAGCTAAAGCAGTGTTTTATATTTAAAAGTGGTACCATTATCTATGACCTTTATCCCCAATCTAACATGATTTAGATATGAGCTGCATTCTCTAAAACTTCTGAAGTAGGTTTCAGAGGGCACAGTAGCTAGTAAGTGCAAGGAATGAGAACGCAGCTAAGTCTACTTGTATGAGCACCGGTATGTTCCTTCCCATTACAATTTCACTAGAATGTAATACTATGTAATTTAGCATTTACATTAATTTAATATCTAATTTAAATATTAAATTGAATCCACTGCAATATTTAAAAGAGCAGCAAAGCAATAGTAAAATTAATTTCTTATATCTTCCAAACTCTAGCAAAGGAAACAGAAATGTTAAAATATATATTTTATAGTTACAATATATAAAAAAGGAAAACATATCTGAATAAAACATATCCAATAGATATGTAAAAGTAACTCTGCCTTTAAACATATTTACATTTTATTCAAAAGAAATCATATTGATCAGTCTTTCCATTGTGTCAATTAAGAGACATTTCTAAAGGTTGAGTAGACAAATTTCAATAAAGGATTTTAAATCCAGGGCAGCAATTTCTCTCCAATAGTACATTGTTTTCAAGCTGCAGACTAAACATGATAGATGTTGCACTCATTATGGAGTCTGGATCCTTGCTAACCAGCTACCCTCTAACCCAGGGGTGTCAAATTCAATTTCATTGAGGGCCGCATCAGCATTGTGGTTGCCCTCAGGGGAGCAGGTGAGTCTGGCCAGGGTGGGTGTGGCCTACTGGGTGGGCGTGGCCAACTCTACATTGTTCGCATCAAGGGTGCCTGTGGGGGCCTGGGCAGGAGTGGGATAGATCTGAGGGTCTCTGGCAGAAGGGGGTGGGACCAGGGCAAGTGACAAAGCATGGTCCACTGGAGGAGCCTCACTGTTCCTCTCAGGCCATGCGGGGGGGGGCTTATGGAGCTAAGACTGAATGCGTTTCAGCATAGATGGCCACCACAAAATTGTACATTGGCTCCCGGCCGGCCTGGGCCAGGGCCAAGGCAGAGGGGGCCATTCCCTTGCTGTTTCCAGGATGGCTTCGAGGGCCACATGAAACCACTTCACAGGCCGCATCCGGCCCCAGGCCTTGTGTTTGACATGTCTGCTCTAACCCAATGTTGGTTTTCTGGTCCTAGTTGTCCTAGGTTTTTGTCCTATTTCAGGAAATGGGGGAGTTGGTAGGATTTAGGTGGTCTTTTTTCTTGTTTTTAGTGCTTTTTATTATGAACCACCCAGAATCATTTGCTATCAGGTGTAATGTAGAGTAATAAAATAAATGAACAATTCTGAAGTTTTTCATGTACATATGTGACATATAATGTAGAAGTAATACGCATTATTAATGTTATAATTAAATATTATAAATATTACTTGCCATAAATTAATGGGATTTTTAAGTTATCTATTTATATCAATTTGATAATGCCATCAAGATAATTATATGCACAAAGATGAAATTCCCACAATGAACTGTAAACATGTCAGAACTAGCAGAAATAACAATACTGACATTTTGATCAGGAGGAAAACAATAAGTACTTTTTTACAAGACTGGAACCTTTTTGTGGACTATTACTAAAAGAACAAAAAAATGAACTGATTTATGGATTTAATGATTGAAACAGATCAGAAATAAATAAGGGTTTAAAGGAATTTGTGGAAGACTTAAGAGGGTGGAGAGATGAAAGGCTTGTTAATATCTATTGAAGGGAAGTTGCTTTTTTTCTTTTCTCACAATTCTTTCTTCTTTTTTGATCTTTTTTATCTTTCCAATTACTTTATGTAAAACACTTTTTACGTAATATAAATATATACATCAAAATATAAAAATATGTATTTGTATAAACTTAAAATATTTAAATCAATAAATGAGCCTATATTCAATGCATTTTCAATATCTTAGGAATAATTATTCCAATACAATTACAAGACTACATACAACAAACAAAACCCCTTTTTAAAAAATGCCCACCGTAGGTCTAATTGGAAGTATAGTGAGAAGTATAGCAAGGTTATAATGGTTAAAAAAAGTATACTCTTGCTGCAATACATTTGCATGTCTCCTGAAATAGATTTCAGTAGAGACACTTAAAAGTGCATTTTGTGCATATGATCAAAATTGAATTTTACTTGAAATTACTTGAGACTTAGAATAAATGTATTGAAATCAATGGATCCCAAATAATTGATGTCCTATTTTTTTATGTCTTCTCTAAGTATAATTAAATATGCATTCAATCTATCATTTTGTGGCTTATTAATCAAGAACTGATTTTCATTGGGCCTAATGCTATCTTCTCTAACTGGAAGCTTCTTCCAAGGTATAGACACAGAGAGAGGGGGACATATTTAAAAGATTTGTATGACCGCCCATCTTATTTGTTACAAGTTTGAGGGGCTCACAAAACAGTAGTAAAGCCCAAAGACTGAATCACCACTTGGAGCTAATCATGTGTTCCTGGAAGCCTTGATCAACCATGAGGGGAATGAGTCCAAAACACACATAGCAGAGCTCACAGCAGCAAGGAGGGGTCCATTTCCTCAGATTCAACAGTTCAAACTCTTCCCACATGTTTTGGTCACTCCCAATGTGTTGCTTCATGTTTTGGAGCTCCTCAATAAACCAAGATGCTCTATGAGGTCTGCAACCAGAGAGAATCCCTGCAGGCACATTCCAGTCCAGGATTCATTATCACATGCTTGTTTCAGATTGCAACCAGAGTGTCCACTGAACCACATGTCACATGGGGGTGGCGTGCCAATTGAATTGGATATCTATAGTATATAATATAACAGGATGTCAATATAATAATGTCGAGTGGTGTAGTGTAGCATAATGTAGAAAAGTATAATATATAATAAATTCTCTTTCCTAGCTTTACTAGTTGATTTTCTTGCACAGATTATCAGTATATAAACTGTGTGCTCTTTCACTGAGATACGGACCATACAAATTTGTCCTTCTCACATGGAAAAACAAAACAACTCTGTGGAGATTTTTTTTTTCCTTACCATTGATCCCTGCAATATTTTGATTGCCCTCATAGCTCTCTGCTTCCTCTACAACAAGCTATTATTCAAAAGCTACATTTATTTTGCTTTCAGTTTAATTCTTAAAAGTGTTTATCTCCAGCGGAATTGTCATTGATCAAATGTTTTGTTCTTCTGTCCTATAGCTGATCCAGACAGTAAGTGCAGTAGACCAAGATGACCCACAAGATGGGCAGCACTTTTACTACAGCTTGGCTCCTGAGACAGCAAATAACCCCAATTTTACTCTAAGGGACAATCAAGGTAATTGAACTAGACATCAACTTGTTTGGTTAATTAATATCTTCTGAAGTAGGTTGAATTGCCGAAGCTCTGTTTAAAACTGCTTCATGAGCCAGCCATTGCAAATAACAAGTGACACCTGCTGCTTAAAAGCAGCCATGAAATCAATGTATCAAAGAATTTGCCTCATAATTCTCAGTGCAGCGCTACAGCCTTTTATTTTGTGGAGGCTGTGCAAACCCAAATCTTTTTATCATGTAATAAGTCAGTGGGGAAGAGATGACCAAATGAATATTATTTTTTTCTTAATCCTGAGCTTCCTCTGGATTTCCCCAGAACACAGAAAAGGTATTTCGGATTTATTTCCTTTGGGTGGTATACAGATCCAAAGCAGAAAAGGAGCTTCAAAAAAAGATGTGGTGAAATTTCCTGCATCTGGTGACACTTCCTCCTTCATGAAGCCAATTTTTTTTTGCTCTTGGCTTGCAAGGCAGTTCTGTAATCCCAGAAAATATGCATTTGAATTTAAGAGGTACAGATAGAGTGCAATCAGGCCATTATAACTTGTCAACACCTCCTTAATAGCTCTTTAACTCAACTTCTATTTTTCTGGGACTACACAGATGCTGCATGAGCCAAGAAAAAGTTTTCTCTTCTTTTAGAGAAGTCAACAGTAACAAATATACTCATGTCTCTTTTAAAAGTACCTTTTCACTTCCTTTTCATTGCTTTCTCTTTCTTCTGGAACTCCAGTCCCCCCCCCCTCCCTTCAAATAGCAAATTTGTTGGCTCCTGAGTATGCTGAAGTTCCTTTTGCCCAGTTGTAGTTTCTGCTTTTTTTTTAATTTCAAAAAATATATTACGCAAACCAAGAGCTTTTCCTAAATCTGGTGACACCTCCCTCTGCTGAGTGGATGATGTTCTTTTAATTCAATAAAACAATTGGAGAAATGAATGAGCTATTAATGTAGGAAATGATATAAATAAGCAGCACAATAGCATCACCTAATGGTGAACATTATTTCAACACTGGAGAAACAAGGAAAAAGTAAGCTTTACAAAAAGTATTGCTTTGGAACACCTTACTCACAAAATCAGTTTTTCACATAGCTCCATGCTATGAAAGTTGAATTGGCATATTGTTTCAGTTTAATTTTTTAAAAAAGCTTAGCTTTATAAAACAGACTGACCAATTTGCTGTTGGTTTAAGGCATTAGGAATTTCTAGCTTTTCCACAACTGGCCTCACCATGTGGTCAGGCAGTTATTATTCTGTTGTGTGCTCAGGAAGCTGCACGCACAAAAATTACAGATTCTTTTCAGCCTGCTCAATTCAACCTGGAAAAGTTTTGGTAAAAGATATTGTCAGGCTCCAAAAACAAAGACAGAAACATTGTGATTCTTCCAAACATTTATTTATTGTTTCTCACTTAAAGGTAAAATCTGGCCAAAATAAAACATGTTACCACTTCCACAAAGCATATACTTTGGGGACTATTAGGGAGCTGCCTTCCCTCCGAGAATTCATGCATTAGATGCATTCCATCACAATATATTCCCATGTGCACCCACAATTAGAGGTTCCTTCTTCAAAATGGTGCAAATCAATGTCAGATAAAGATGACATATTTTACAAGCATAATTACCTTTAAATGGCAAAACTGGAAATTTTAGAAGGGTATAATTTCAAGAAGAGGAGTGCCTTCTCACATCTACAGTCTATAGCAATGAAGTGCCTAGATTTATTATTTGGAAATTGCTGTCAAGATTTACACGATATTGCCTTGCTGCGACATACTTATGATTCTTATTTTCTTTCCTTAAACTTACATCACTGATGAGCTTAAAAGAAGTCATCATTAAAAAGATTTGTGATATAGGTTTGTTTAATGCTTGGGGCATTCTGAACAACATTCAGGTATAAGACAGGGAGAAAGAAAAAAAATCCTCTCTCTTTTGCCTCTTTATTTCAACATCTTAATTAGGAATGACAAGAGCGGTTGTTGTTAAAAAGCAGTTCTCAGGCACAGCTAAAGTTTTCACAGCTAAAGTTCAATCTGCCATGTTGGATTATGAACCTAAAACCTTAAAAATGATTTTACTTATAAGAAAAGAGCACAGGATATTTAAACTGAAATCCTGAAATTTAATGCACTGTGGTCTTAGGTACCTCTACTTCATTCATTCTTTTGTCTCCTGTCTTTTTCTTCTCCTGTTTTTTCTTTCCTCCTTCCCTTTTTGTGTTCCCTATCTTTTAATTGGCTCTTTTCATTCAATTTTCTTACGTGCAACTAAGCTCGTTGTCTGAATACAGGTGAAATAATATATCTAAGCTCACTGCAAAGTGAACAAAATCACCTGGCTAGTGGGAGGCCATAAAAAATGAGCAAATAAATAAATGTGTCACTAACAATAATAATAGCATCCGTAGCATGGGTATGAATGCCAGCTTCCAAAGACAGAGAAACATGTGTCACTGAAAGTCTAGAGTAATTCATAAACAATTGCATATTCCAAAAGTGGTTACACTGCAGCTGTAGATCCAAGTAAACACAACACTGTAAGTTTATAAAGTTAATCCAAAAATCAGTTTTGTAATATATTTTATATTTTAGCATTGTGAATAAGTCTTTCTTTTTTTCTTTCTTTCTTTTTAGACAACACAGCTTGGATTTTAACTAAGAGATCAGGCTTTCGGCAACATGAGCAGAATACCTTTTATCTTCCCATCTTAATAGCTGATAATGGACGTCCTGTGCTAAGCAGTACTGGAACAGTAACCATTCACGTTTGCAGCTGTGATGAAAAAGGTCTTGTGATGTCCTGTAATGCAGAGGCCTACATACTCCCTGTCAGCCTGAGCAGAGGAGCTCTGATTGCCATCCTAGCTTGCATTTTTGTTTTGCTCGGTACGTCTACATACCATCTCATGAACAAATCTAATGTTCTTCAGGCAAAATAAGGGAAGGGGCAATATTGGTTGAAATGTAATACTAATCACTACAGATAGTCCTTGATTTACAACCACAATTTCTATTGCTAAGTAAAACCTTGGTTAAGTGAGTTTTACCCCATTTTACAAATTTCTTGCCAAAGTTTTTAAGTGAATCGCTGCAGTTGTTAACTTAGTAACACGGTTACTGAATCTGGCTTGCCCATTGATTTTGCTCGTCAGAAGGTCGCAAAAGGTGATCACGTGAGCCCAGGACACTGTAACCATCATAAATATGAGTCAGTTGCCAAGTATCTGAATTTTGATGATGTGACCATGGGGAAGCTGCAATGGTCCTAAGAGTGAAAAACGGTCATAAGCCTTTTTTTTTTTAGTGGTGTTGTAACTTTGAATGGTCACTAAACAAATTGTCATAAGTCAAGGACTACTTCTATAGTGGTAGCAATTTTGATGGGAAAAAGTAGATCTCTTTGATTACCGTTACATGTAAAATATTACTTGCTGATTGGTCTTGAGTGAAGAAGAAAAAATTGCTGTCTAAGTGCTTTTATTTTGTTCATTACCTTTAGTTCTGGTTCTGCTGATCTTATCCATGAAAAGACACCGGAAGCAGCCTTACATGCTTGATGAGGAAGAGAATATCCATGAGAACATTGTCCGATATGATGACGAAGGCGGTGGGGAAGAAGACACGGAAGCTTTTGACATTTCTGCCCTGTGGAACCCCAGAGAGGCCCAGGCATTCATAAAGAACCGACAAGACATGATGCCAGAAATTGAAAGCCTCTCAAGATATGTTCCTCAGGCCTGCACGATGGACAGCAGTGTTCACAGCTATGTATTGGCCAAACTCTACGAAGCAGACATGGACCTCTGGGCACCTCCCTTTGATTCCCTCCAGACCTACATGTTTGAGGGCAACGGCTCAGTGGCCGAATCGCTCAGTTCCTTACAGTCTGTAACTACGGACTCAGAACAGAGCTATGACTATCTGACAGACTGGGGACCACGCTTTAGGAAGCTGGCGGAAATGTATGGTGCCACAGAGGGGAGTGGGACTCTTTGGTAACAAAAAGGGCCAAGTACTTGGTATTCAAATGCCGCCATCTAAACTTGTACTTGTCTGATATCAGACATCGGTGGGATGGCCTCCTACAATTAGCAATATGATGCTTGAGGGAGAATGCAGAAGAATTTGAATAAATCAAAGCACTCTCTCTGGATCAGCTTTATGAAATTACTTTAAGCTACATTTGTGAAACAATGATAAACAGGAGAGAAAGACAGGTGGGAAGATTTTTTTTAAATTTTCTTTCAAAGACTTATACATGAACATTTGGTTCTGGATTAGAATGACTGATTTAAGACACAAGAACGCACTCACACACATGGACCACTTATTAACTTTTTTACATCTGCCTGTAAAAATCTATACATTTCAATTCACATGGAATTGTGTGGAGAAAACCGACTCCAGTAGATGATTTCTTCCTCTTTGTTTATAAAAGAAAGATTTGTCAGAAAATACAGGAAGACATTGATAAAGACAGATTTTTTTTTTACCAGCAAATCCTAATGAAGAAGCTAAAGAGCAAAAGACGTGAGTGAAGGGGAAGGGAGAACAACTGACCCATGTGTCATATGCATTATTGCTAATATCAAATTAATGTATGCGGAGTCTCTCTCCTCAGCTTTTTAAAAAAACTACAATTCAAAATCAAATCATAAAAATAATGCCTCCTTTCTGCACTGTAGATACTTCTTCCATGTGCCAAATGCAAGAATCAGATGTTACCAGTAAAAGCCAAAAAAAGTTTTAATTTCATATCTACATGATGTTAGAGGGCCTTTCCCAAACTAGTCAAGATCAAACAGGGAAGTTTACACTGTAGGTGACCTACTTGAACAAATGCAGTATTATAGAGGAATAAAAGGATGTAATAAATATTCCATATATAAGTTTTGTATATTTGTTAATAATTTTGGTAATAAATATCATGTACTGGATGCAGTACCTTAGAACTCTTTTAATAAAATTTAAATTGAAGGAAAAAGAATCTGCAAGATCTTTTGTCTGTTATAGCTGCAAATGATCTTTTGTCTGTTATTGACTGAAGCCATTGCAATCCCTGTTCCATGTTTGTTTCTAACTTGATTCTTCCCATACATATAGTGTAGGACAAATTACTTCCAAAATTCCTATCCCTATTGCTACTTTGGCATAGTACAAACTGCAGTCTCAACACTATATAAGGTCACCCATGGTCTTAATATTCTGCTCCCTCAATTTCTAAACAAGCATCTGGTGAGACAAATAAATGCATCACGCAAATAGATAGATAGATAGATAGATAGATAGATAGATAGATAGATAGATAGATAGATAGATAGATAGATAGATAGATAGATAAAGATTCCATGACTTTTTATCAATAGAAATTTATATTTGAGGTAGACCTTTCATGCCTCCTACTTCCATTACATCCTATTTTGGAGTGAATTATGTGAAGACCTAGCTTAGTAGAGAAGGTTCTAATGCTATGAAATTTGAAGGAATAGAAGAGGTGTATAGATTTAGTGATAGTGATGATGAGTACATCATTGGAAGTTCTGAAAGATTTGCATAAAGGAAATCTGTGATTTAAAAGAGTTGAAAATGACTTGATGAGACATTATCAATTCCATGCTGCTTTGAATTATTGTCATGTAAGGAAGACATTCAATACTCTAAGGCAGCGGTCTCCAATCTTCCTGGCAGACTAGCTGGGGGTGGAGAGAGGATGGTTCCATGCAAGGATGGGAGAACGCATGTGTGCTTCTGAAGCTCCATTTGCACAAGCAGCGGGCACACGTGCCTGCCACTTAGACAAATGGAGCACGCGTAAGTGAAGTTGTGCGCATGTGCACGCTCACTGACTGCTTCCATGGGCCGGTTCTGAATGGACCATGGTCCATTAGTGGGCGACAGCCTGGGAGTTGGGGACCCCTGCTCTAAGGCAATTCATTTCAACTGGATTACGGGCCTCCAACTGTGGATCACAATCCAGTAGGGAAATGGGAGCAACTTAAAAGTAACTTGCAAAATTTAATTAAAGCTGTTCAGGGAAGCCCTTCAAAATTCACTCCAATCTTTGCTCCCTTGCTTGATGTACCCAAATCAGAGTGGATTTGCATGGCCAAAATAGGAGTGAGTTTTGACAATGCTCTGACTTTACTTGCACAAGCCTGGAATTCAACAAAAATATTTTCTTTTCCTATCAAAAATATTTGTTTTTGTGCTTTGGTAAACCTCAAAGTTTATTATCTGAATATGATACCTGATGTTTTCTAAAAAAAAAAAAAAAACAACATAAAACTGAGCTTATTTCATTTTCCCCAGTAATATTCTATATTCTTACCAATTAAGAAGCATTATTTTAAAAACGAGAAGAGGTGATGCTCCAAGTAGCATCAGCCTATAATTCAGCAGATGTTTTAAAAAGTTTCATTTGAATGATTTGTATGTCAAAGACAGGGAGAGACAGTATATTTAAAATAGACTCTATAACGGGTGGGGAACGATGGTCCCTTTATAACTTGTGTACTTTCACTCCCAGAATTGAATCTGGCTCAGGAATTCTGGGAGTTTAAGTCCACAAGTCATAAAAGGGCCATCGTTCCCTATCTCTGCTATATGTCAACCTGTGTTAAATTTCCATCTGCTGCCCAGAGTTATTATTATTATTTATATGCTTGGTGCTGTAATTAAAAAAAATAACAGCAAAGCAAGCAAAGAGACACAATGGAGCATTTCATTTTTCTGGACTACAGGTGATCCTGGACTTACAACCACAATTGAGCCCAAAGTTTCTGTTGCTAATTGTTAAATGAGTGTTGCCCCGTTTTGAGGCAAGACCTTTCTTGCCTCAATTGTTAAGTGAATCACTGCAGTTGATAAGTTAGCAACACGGTTGTTAAGTGAATCTGGCTTCCCCATAGACTTTGCTTGGAAGGTCACAAAAGGGGATCACGTGACCCCGGGACATTGTAACCGTCATAAACACGAACCAGTTGTCAAGCATCTGAATTTTGATCATGATTCCATGGGGATGCTGCAATGGTCGTAATTGTGAAAAACGGTCCTAAATCACTTTTTTCTGTGCCGTTGTAACTTCGAACGATCACTACATGAACTGTTGTAAGTCGAGGACTACCTGTACGTTTCTGCTTTCACAGATTGTTTGCTACATATTCAGTTAAACTTTAAAATACAAGGCAAAGCCACACAAAGGCAGTAAAAAAAAAGCAACAGAAAAATATTTTTATTGATCACAGATAATCAGATATCTTCATCGGTCTCTTACAATTTCACGTTGTTCCGAGTCGACTTCTTTAGGGAGGTCATCTATGGTTCACTCCAGTTAGTTCTGTTCCCAGAACCTGATGAAGAAGAGAAAAGTTACATCCTACACAATCAATACTCAAAATTGCATGGAGCTTTCTGATATTTTCTATAAGGATCTTGATTCAGTAGCTATTTTAGCTATACTGATACGGTTGAATAACTTAAAGATTTCTTCCACATCAAACATAGGACTGTTCTTAAGAAGCAAATCTTTCTGTATGGTCTCAATTGTTGGAGAATTGTTCATAGCTCAATCCTAATCTCATTTTTTTTTATTTCTTTAATCCAACAGCATATATTTTTACAACTACTTCATGAAGTATATCAAAATGAGAAATTACTAAGGAGGTTTATTATTTGATTCTAGTTTATTTAATCTGTTCACTGTTATGTTCAAAATTAAGTTCTTAAACCAGATTTATAATCCTAGTTGACAGACTTACAAACAACTCAGGATTCATTTTGGGCCCAACAAAATTTTGGATTTAAGCTGATTTCCAATCTTGAGTCATTATTGGACAAAAATGTGGCCATCAAATAGCTAATGCTCCCTTCTCTGATCAAACAGCTACTGCTCCACTTATCTAAGTGAAAAAGTTGCTTAGTGAAACTAAATAGGGCTTATGATCTTACTTCAGTTTTCATTTTACAGAAGGTCGTAAATTCAAGGATTGATCATAAAGTTAATTTTTCATCACCATTTTAACTGCTAACACTTGCTAAACAAGGTAGTCACTAAACGGGGTAGTCACTAAGCAATTTGCAAAACTATACAAACATTAATTCTGCAGTAGAAGCTCTTCAGCATCCCATAATGTGTAATAGACATATTCTATGGCAGACATGTCAAACACAAAGCCTGGAGGCCGGATGCAGCCCGTGAAGTGGTTTCATGTGGCCTGCAAAACCATCCTGAAAACAGTGAGGGAACGGCCCCCACTGCCTTGGCCTTGGCCCTGGCCCAGGCCGTCCGGGAGCCAAGGTACAATTTTGTGGTGGCCATCTATGCTGAAACACATTCAGTCTTAGCTCCACAAGGCTGTCTAGAAACAGCAAGGAGCCAGCCCCTGCCATGTTGGCCCCGCCCCCTGGGTGCATGCTGGGGAGGTGTCACCCTTTATGAGGAATGAAGAAATGGACCATGCCTTGGCTCTTGCCCCAGTCCCACCCCCTTCTGCCAGAGACCCTCAGATCTGTCCCATTCCTGCCCAGGCCCCCACAGGCACCCTTGACGCGAACGATGTAGAGCTGGCCATGCCCACCCATTCTCATATAGACGACTTAGCATCTACAACCTAACCATGCCCTTTGTCTATCAAGTGCTTCCTGTTTAAATTATTATCATTTTCTGATGTTATATATGTTGACAGCAGGCAAGATTACTTTATGCACAAAAATGGAAAGACACTTTGATTCCCGCAATGGACAAATGGCTGCAAAAGTTGATGGAGTTAGCGGAGATGGCTAAATTGACTGCTTCGATTAAAGAAAAAACCCGCAACTTTTGTTTCTACTTGGAAACCACTTCTGGACTTTGCACTTGAGGTGGAAAAAAATGAAACCTTGATTTTGTGTTTTACCGATTAGATAGGCTTGTTGTTATAGAAATGGCTAGTTTATACTACTATGTAAAAGTCAAAAGTTGAGATTTTTATTATTCTACTGCACCAAAGGGAGTTGGAAGCCAACACCATTTCTTCCTTTTTCCCCCTTTTCCCCCTTTTCCTATGCTTTTCCCTTCCCTTTGCCCTCCGCTATTTTTCCTACTATTTTCTTTTCTATTTTTGTATTTTATAGTATAAACTACATATCCCTTGACCAACCGATATCAGTGGAAGGAGATACAATAAAGGAAATTGAACAGCGTGTTAAATGTGGTTGGCAGGCATTCGTCAAACTAAGCATAATTTTCAAGAACAACCTCCCCAGTGGTGGGATTCAAATATGTGAACAACCAAGTTCTCTGTGTGGATGCTGCTTCTGGATGTCCATTCTGGGCCTAGGCAACTGGTGCGAACTGGCTGAATCCCAGCACTGAACCTCCACCTATGCCTGAAGAGAATTTTATTTTTGATCAGTGTGTGCTACTTGCTCTAACATATGCCAGTGAAACAGAGACACTAACCTTCAGAATCAATACAAAAGCTACGAATGGCATAAAGAGCCATGGAAAGATACATGCTTGGCATTACAAGGCAAGACAGAAAGACCTGCACATGGATTAGAGAACAAACGAAAGCATATGATATCATCAAGAGAGTAAAAGAATTGCAATGGAAATGGGGCTGGTCACATAGCAAGAAGGACTGGTGTCAGGTGGACCAAGGCAGCCATAGAATGGATCCCACTTGATAATAAGCGTCCATGAAAGAGACCTAAAACAAGATGGATCAACAGCACCAGCATGTATTGTGGGTCCAATTGGCAAAAGAAAGCTCAGAAGCATATATGTTGGAAACATGCGGAAGAGGCCTTCATCCTGCAGTGGATAGACAATGGCTAAAATGATGACAATGACGATGACGATGATGATGATGATGATGATATTATAAACTAATAAAAAATATTATTATTTTCCTTGTTTTCCTTGTGGGCTTTGCTTATTTTATGTATTGAAACCTACCGTGAAATTCATAGGAATATGGAGAGGTTATAAACATCTTAAATAAGTCACTGGACAA